ATTTTAATGATCTCACGAAAGTTTGAGTTTGTATGTATTATTTTGCATACATATAATGTAAAATATTACATAAGCTGATACACCTCAATGTTCGTTGCACTTTTAATCAATTGAATAATAAATATTACTCACAAATTGTCACTTTTTTTAACCACTGCTTTGACAAAATGGTTGTGAAGGTAAAACCATGTTTAATGGCGGATTACCCTTCAACCGCAGAACTGCGTTTTCCATTATATGAAAAAATAGCAAAGAAAATCAAACAAATATTCGTATGACCTTTAAATACAGAAACAGACAATACGCAATTGTCTACTCACCGAACGAGGTAAAGACTTCGGTAAAATTACACCAAACACAACACGTTTTTGGCTGTGAGCAGTTGATGTGAAGCAAAATGCAGAGCATTAAGAGCTCACCGTGTTATATAATGTAAACTCCCTATGAGAGATAAATTATTTGAAGCTTTGTTAACGTAGGCAGCCAGACCATCCCAGACGGGAGAGGAGCAGTATCCTACAGGGATTTACTCGATTTTTTTTCACCCATGCTGACCCCTCTGCTTCTTGATCCGAGTCATCACCTGAAGCAACAACTATTAATTCTAGCAGCTGGCAGAAATGGATACGTCAATCTCAGATATATATTTTTTTAGCATGTCACTTTTTGATGTTTAAGAAGCCCCATTATAATACAGCTGAGCATGACCTTACTGTACTATTATGGCCTGCTGTGCTCCAGTGCAGTCATTCAAAAGGTTTATTTTACTTTCTCAATCACTATTCCAGGAATGTGAGCATTGGGTGAGGTTGAGTGGAGAGTGGTTATGGTGATGAAGGTGGCGGTAGTGGTGGTGTTAGGGGTGATAGTGGTGGGGGTAAGGGTGATAGTGGTGGTAGGGGTGATAGTGGTGATGGAGGTGGCGGTAGTGGTGGTGGTAGGGGTGATAGTGGTGGAGGTGGCGGTAGTGGTGGTAGTAGGGGTGATAGTGGTGGTGGTAGGGGTGATAGTGATGGTGGTCGGGGTGATAGTGGTGGTAGGGGTGATAGTGGTGATGGAGGTGGCGGTAGTGGTGGTGGTGGTAGGGGTGATAGTGGTGGTGGTAGGGGTGATAGTGATGGTGGTAGGGGTGATAGTGGTGGTAGGGGTGATAGTGGTGATGGAGGTGGCGGTAGTGGTGGTGGTAGGGGTGATAGTGGTGGTGGTAGGGGTGATAGCGATGGTGGTAGGGGCGATAGTGGTGATGGAGGTGGCGGTAGTGGTGGTGGTAGGGGTGATAGTGATGGTGGTAGGGGTGATAGTGGTGGTGGTAGGGGTGATAGCGATGGTGGTAGGGGCGATAGTGGTGATGGAGGTGGCGGTAGTGGTGGTAGGGGCGATAGTGGTGGTGGTAGGGGTGATAGCGATGGTGGTAGGGGCGATAGTGGTGATGGAGGTGGCGGTAGTGGTGGTGGTAGGGGTGATAGTGATGGTGGACCAATGTGGTGATGCACCCAAATGAAATGACGCTTACCAGACCCTCCATTGAAGACAGCTGTGAATGGCGTTAACGGTGTGCACAGTCCACATATTGAATACTATACAGTACATATAGTGAAAGGTATATATTTTTTCTTCAAAAATAAAAGTGTATACGAACAACAATGAAAAATAGAGCATTTCTCTGGGGGTGACCGTTACCAAACTGGATCGGGATGGGTCACAGTGCTTTTGTAGGCCTGTGTATGGGCAGGAATGTGAATCATGGAGCTGAAACTGGGGCACTTGGGAGGTGAGAGAATGCTGCTTCAATGATAATTAGATAAAGTGAAGCCTCCCAAGCTGCCTCATTTAAAGATATTTAATTACAGTTTATACAATTTTAAAAAGTGGCTGTGCCATCACCTTTCTCAGCACTCAGCGTACCCCCATTGCTACCCACCATATAATTCTCTTGTCTTGCCAATGGATATGCGATAAAGCAGATATCTGTAAGTTTGCTTGATTGTAGTTTTCCAACTTTTAAAAGAACAGTTCATACTAGAGTATAAGCCTTCAAAATTATTTTTTTTTAAACGATGGTCAAAATGGCAAGTCAAAATGCTTTGAAGTGTAAGAGCTACACACTCGTGCTGAGCACAAGGACTGAAATTACCAGCGACGTTACGTGCCTTTCAGAGGAATGTGCGACAATCCGAACTGACAAATGCAATGAGAGAAAAGACCAGTCACTGTGGCCACATTTGCTGTGCGCGTGTGCATCTGTGTGCACTCATTTGAGTATGTGTGCACATATGCAATCATATATATGTGTGTGTAGAGGATTATTGTGGGTATACCATGAGGGGGCGAGCGGACGGAGGTTCGAACGGGTTGAGAGTCATGTGGGGCCAAGGATGACGTAACGTTACGGGTTACGCAAGGGGCTTTCGCATGGCACTTGCGAGAAGGTGGGCGGGGCCGAGCTGGGGGGGGGGAGGAGCCGCCCAAAGGGGTTCTTAAGGGGGACCCCGTGACGGGGGTGAGGTCGTCGTGGGGGGCCAGGGTAAGGAACCGCTGGAAGAGGGTCTCCCTCTCTCTCTCTCCTCGTCGCCGAGCGGTGTTGGCTGATCCCCCGCTCTGGGCAGACGAGTGAGAGAGCGCAAAGGGAATCGCTGGGGTCGGGTATTAATAGTTACGAAGTGTCCGGGTGAAGGACCGAGTCAGAGTGCACTTACACTGGTGTGAGTGTAGGATGCCGAGTGAGAAAGTGTTTAATAAACGGCAATAGCCCTTATATAAATCAAGATTTAATAGCCCTCGTAATATTCTTCATCTCCACGTGTATTACTGTACAACATATGTATAAGAGACACAGATGTCAAATGTATTTTGTATATACTAGTCTGTATATTGTATATGCATTGCATATATATACTTGGTATGTGCATATATGCCTGATATATGTAGAGCATACGCTACTGGACATATCTGAATCAGTATTATGAATGTATATATTTGGAGGGTATAAACTACCCTTCAGAACAAAATTGACCGCGTGATGAAAATCAATAGTTAAGTCTAGAAATTTCAATCAATTTATTGTACATACCTAAATAATGCATGCATGTTTGTTCGCTTTTTTATGGTCGTGTTCCAGTATAAAGTTTGAGAGTTTTCAAGTCATCCTGTATTTTATTCATTGTCATGCTTTTAATAGCTGCATACTAATGGTAGCATCTACTCACAGTTAAAAATATTCCCGTAGCCATTTCTCTGTCGTTTCAATCTGCGCGTCCATTCATTACGTTGCATAAAGACAAATACAGCATGAAATTTTGATTTAAAGCTTTCGTGACTGCAAGGATTCATATTCTTGGTTCTTTTGGTAAAGTCACGTAGAAGGGAAACAAAAAAATAAAATATATAAAACAATACAATTCTCACGACGTTTCGACTGCAACACAAGCAATCATCATCAGGTATGAAAACCACAGCAAGAAAATGTGTTTGCTGCGTGAAGAAAATTTTATTGCTGTGGGTTTCACACCTGATGATGATTGCTTGTGTTCCAGTCGAAACGTCGTGAGAATTTTCTTGTTTTATATTTGTATTTATTTTTTATTTTATTGTTTCCCTTTTACGTGGCTTTACCGAAAGAACCAAGCATATAAATACAGCATGGTTTTACCAGCTTAAGACGGAGATCACAGACTACTTATTAATGTAATTATTGACTTAAAGCTTTCGTGACTGCAGGAATTCATATTCGTTGGGTCTTTCGGTAAAGTCACGTAGATACAACAATAAAATAATACAAATCAATAAAAATGAAAATAAAGTCAATAATTTTTTTGTATTGTTCTATCTACGTGATTTTACCGAAAGACCCAAAGAAAATGTAATTAGTGTCACGTTTTTTTTTATTAGGAGAGCAAAAAAACAATCAGTGTCTCCCAGCGGGCATGTTACCACACACCCGCACGCACTGAACTGTAAAGGAAGGTCAATAAGTAGTAGTACGTGCATATACATAGCATGTCGACTATACAGCCTCCACTTCACATACATCGTCATGTGTAGTATTAAGTAAGACTCCCACCACGTGTGTGAAGCGTATGCAAAACTGAGATTGAGCACGTGGGCTATACGTTGCAAGCGTGTTCTTGTAAAAATACGTAACATCGTGTGAGGCTTGTAATTGAAGCAATGCACTACCAAAGGAGGCTCATTCATTCCGAGAGGTGATGTTTGGCATAGTCTTTACGGTTAAAACTAACACCGGTTAACACGCGCAGCTAAAGTCCCTAATTAAATACATGACAATCGTTTTCAGGAATGCATTACACACCTATTAATTGGAAGCAGATTAAATCGATAACTATTACACACACACTTGCACACTCTAAACGAGTGGGTCAAACTTCAAATATTTTAATGATAAAACGTACATTTAGGGTGCTGTATTATATAGCAAGCTTACGTAATTTATACTGAGACTGCCCGCACAATGGGAAACATATGCCCTCATTACGTGAACCGACAGAAACCTCACTAGCCAGTCCAATAAATACATAGGTTATAGCTGTAACATGTAGCAGTACACGTATAGGCTAGACGAATAACGTGCAGCAAACACTACCTCTGTTATGCGGGTTGCGCTGTCCATTTCAGTACCGGGCAGAGAAATACTTTTTAAGCGACTGGAGGGAAAGACACTTAATATATATAAATTGTGAATTTGAGATGCAAGGCTCTCCCTCGTTTTCTTTGCACATGCAAATATTAAGCCCGCGGTGCAATTACATAGGACACGACAATGTTAGTCAGCCCCAGAGAGACAGCATAAACACGTGTTGATACATTGCAGTTAACACGGTGGATAAACATTTATGCCACTTATTGCTGCTACCTCATAAAAGTCAATGCGTTGTTCGGAACATTGCAATAAAATCAACATAATGTGAATGCGTAGGCCTGCCAGAAGGCGGGTTCTCCTCTTGCATACTGAATGCATCACAAATACAATTAGAAGGCGGTGTTTTTGGTGGTCCACTTCGAAGACGTTCTTCAAACGACAAACAACGCCTGCCTTGGATTCACGTGCACGCGGGGGCGTTATGATAATCCACAGCCGATAGCTGCGCCTAACTGTGGATTAATTTGTTGCTCTGCATTTGAAGCAACTCGAGCACCAGTTACTCCCCGACCTGCGTTCGTGTCACCGGCTGTTTACACCGACCTTGAATACACATTCATCAGCACACAAATACGACAACGCCGTGATAACGATGACATAGATCACACAGTAACAATAACGATACGATGACAAGTTAAATACTAACACGATAACAGCAACACAAGACCAGTTCATCTTTAAAAAAGGGGGTGGGCGGGGGGATGGGCTTGATCTAAGTATTGAGTCTGTTGACAAGCGTCCTTTACGCAACAGCCCACAGATCGACACACACGCAAAAACAGCCACTCGCAACCCGGGCGAGGTGGACACTGGACAACGCATTCAAATCTACCGTGGCAGGAGGAGAGGGAACAGGCGAGGAAGAGTCGATGATCCGCTGGATGATTGAGAGGCGGGTGTTAATAGATTTGCCAAGAGGAAAGCACTGCCTTTCGAGGTGAGCCTTTCTCGTTAGTCTTTACCCCCCCCATCTCCCCCGCCTCCCATTCGCCTCCGGACTCTCCGTGCCACGTGTGACGCCTGACAACTTGCCAAGGGAACGCGGGGGAAGATCGCGGGGCGGAGCAGGCGGCGGCGGCGGAGAGAGGCGCGCGCGCGCTATAGCAGCTCTCATCGCAGGGTCGGTTCCAGGCTGCGATCAGCGCGCAAATCCTCGAGCGCTTAGCGGCAGCATTCATCAGGAGCCCGGGCGGGCGGGCGGGCGGGCGCGCAGATGGACGCGTGTGGATTTACGGAGAGGCGCCCGACAATGCGTCTCCTCCTCCTCCGTCCCCGGACGGAGCCCGCGGAAAAAGTATGATTTTACGGTAAGCGATGCGGTTCTTTATATTGCCTCGCGGCCGGAAGAAAGCCGGCCCTCCGAGGACGTGGTTTTAATGTCACCTTGCAACGAACGGCCAAACGTGTTGAATGAAGAGCTCTCGCAAAGGGGAGAGAGAGGCCCAGGCGTCACACAGAGTGAGCCGCGAGACTCGCTGTCGCTAGCCGGCTCGTTTGCACGTGGGGCAATATCGCAACAGGGTGCTTGTTCTGAACATATGTTTATTTACATCGATTATCAAGGAACTGTGTAGCGTGCGCGAGGAGCGGTAGTGCAGTGGTTAGCGCGCTGTGCCGCGCTACGGAGCCGGTAAATCCGAGTTCGATTTCCGCTCAGGGTCAACATCAGCGACGATTGTCTGAACCGGTTCTGGGCCTCTCCGAGGTCGGCTCAAGCTCGAATGAGTACGCGGCGCGATGTGTAAACATCGTCACTGTGGAGACAAACGACATTCATTAGGTGCTCGCTAACAGCACTTGCCCCAAAAGTCTGTTTGAGGCTATAAGGGGGAGTTTGTTTAACACGTAGGCTTTCGCGACCAATATCATCCATAATAGAGGTTTTTGGGTTAGATCGCGTTTTTTTTATTTACGCGATCTAACCCCAAAAGCCTCTATTATGAAGGGGGATTGTATTTTTGTCTGTATAACGTTAACAGTGGGTCGTCGCTTACTGCGGTGGACAAAGAATCGACATTTGTAACGAGCAGTCAGTCGGGGCGCTGGGGAGTTTCTGAGTGCGACTGGGAGCAGATGATGATAGCCGTGGTCGGCGTTGGATACAACGCCGTTGGTATATTGCCCACCGAACGTTATGAATGATGCATCAAACCAAGGACTCTCGCGGCAGGGCTATTTATGGAATTCCTGAAAATTTTCACGGAAAATTCCGCGGTTAAACGAAGAAAACAACACCCTCTTATTGCAGAACGGATTTAATAATGATAATCGGGCCAATTAAAATGACGTTTGCACGACCCGCAATAAGTGCATTGCATTATGAACGAGGGTCGTTGCCCGAAACGTCGCTTATTCTGTATTGTTTTATTTTAGGGCGGTGTTATTGACACACACGTATTAAGTTTTCTATTGTACAAAATGATGCCTTACGATGTCTATATAGTCCTGTAACGTTTCCCTGATATCTGGAGAAACGTGTGTGTGTGTCGTACTGCTCTTCATTAGGTGCTCGCTAACAAGCACTTGCCCCAACAGTCCGTTAAGACTATACGGGGCATCTTTGTCTTTGATGCACATTGAACGTGGCTGCTGCCTGGCTGGGGTGATGATGATGACGATAACGCTCGCTGTAAACGAGGCGACCCATTGAATCGTAACTCAAAGCTTGAGTGTATTCATCGCGGCTGTTTGATGCGCACCGTTTGTGATCAAACCTGGGTGAGATCGTTCGCTGTAACGCCCGTGCACACAATGGGGCAAGCGACACTCCGGGCGATTGTTGAGAGCCGTGTATTGGTTGACACGTGTATTTTGTGTGTATTATACATGTATATTCGTGACAAGGCATTCGCGCAGCGAGTGTTACAGCCTTGCGTCTGCAGTCGCCTTTAGCGCCTTTGTGCAGATTATAAATCACGTCGAACCTCGGATCCATATCTTAAGGGTCATCATCAGCATCATCGTCATCATTTAGTGTTAGTGTCCATCACACCAACTTTAGTCAGATCAATGATGACCATTTGTGGGGGGTACCCACAAATGGTATCGATGCTTGAATCTTCAGCTGTTGCACGGCTCCTCTAGCAGACGGCACCGGAGCAAGCTGAGTGAGGAGGCATCGTCTGCTCTGCATCGCAGACGTAGCTCGTGTTCCGGGCCACCCTGGTCGAGATGGCTTCGACTTCCTGGGGTTTTGCTTCGCAGCAGTCGACATCTGCGCCGTAGCGGTTTCACGCATCGCTTGCGGATTTCCCCGTGGCTCTTCTGACCCTGATGGGAGAAGAGCCTCCGCTACTCGCGGTCTCACGTCAGCGGCGACTTCCGATGTTACTTGCAACCTCCCATGAGCGACATGTCGTGTCGACTCCTTTAGTCAGCCCACTGCTGGATGAAGGTCTCCCCATGTCGTGTCGGTCATGGGGGTGGGGTGGGAGGGCAGATATTGACAATACTTCACCACGCTGGTACGTAAGTAAGAAAGCTGTAATGTCATGCCATATTCTATGTCATGTGCTTTATCCTAAGCCGGGTCATTAAGGAGCAGCGAGCGGGGCTCTGTTTCGCTATTGTCTGGAAAATGTGCACACGTCACCAGCGCACACGGGATAGTGAGTATTTTAAGACCATAATTTGTAATGATTTTTTTTTCCGGGCCGACCCTTCAGTCCCCCCGGGACCCCAACCGGGGGAATCTTTTTTGTAGCTCAGCCCCAGATAGCTCAGTCTGAAATAAAGCATCGAGTTCAGTTTCAGTTTCTTTATTTTGGTATAGCCCTGTGAGCCATTCTGCTCTTGCATCGGGTGCAACCACAACAAACAAAACACATTATAGTCACCTGGCAGGAATCTTACTACCATATACCTTCAGGGCACAGGATAATTTTGACAAAATTACACAAGCAATGTCACCTTCATTTATCTGTGTCTGCACGTGATAAAATGTAAAGTTTTTTTGCGCTATCCATCAGCCACAGCCTTCCGGGAGTGCATAATTCCAGCAGCATTCAGTTCAAGCAAACCCTGAATCGGTTTCGACATACGGTGTCTCCACCGGTAGAGTCGAGCGTACTTGCTTTAATCAATGCTGGGGAACTGTTAGATTTTAAAGGCAAGAACTCCCTCTTTATGCAATGGTTCCCAGCTCGACACAAAATTGTATAATACAGAATTATCATTTTGAGTTACGTATTAACATTGAGCGATTTTTTTTAATCTTTACATATTTAAACCGAGACTTTATTGTTTTAAGCTTGGCATTACGCAGGAACAAAGTAGTCTGTTGGCTTCACTCAGTGCTGTGAATGTTTTTGCTGTCTGGAGGCAGATGGTGTAATCTAAAACATGTACTCATTTAATAAAATCCGTGCTTGCTTGGTATATATTGCGATACGCAGCAAGAATGTCCATCCCCTCTCGCCTGCCCAGGCGAGGCTTAAAATAGGGAATCCCCCATCTCAGAAAGACATGCATGGAGCCTTACATCTTTGGGAAAAGTCATTGCCACGGGAGGAGAGGAGAGGTGACCCGCGGTGTCTGCGTCAATGTTAACCTCTCCCCGGCACCCGGTCTGCAGCAGCAGCGAGCTGATTAACACTGATGATGTTATGCACGGGTGAAGAGAAGGGCTACACGCCTAGTGACCTGCTCATGAGAGATGACAGGGGCGCCGTGGTGGCGAGAGTTAACTGCCTCACCTGGTATACAGGAGATTGTGGGTTTGATCCCGACCCTGACCTAGAGTACTGAGACTCAGTGTGGTAATGTACTCGTGTGCGCACCTTTGTGGCAAAATGCTAACTACCTCTCCTGGTATACAGGAGGGTGTAGGTTCGATCCCGACCCTGATGCCTCCTGTATATTGCGAGTTTTCAGGTCTCTCTCCCCATGGTCGCATTATTTTTTTTCCGGGTCCTCCGGTTTTTCCATACACATTTAGAAACACCCATGTAGAGTATTTGTCTGCTGCTATACATTTCCACATGATAAGCCACTTGGTTGAGCTATCATTTGCGGTCAGGTCGCTTCTGAAAACGAGTTATATAGCTCAGTGGGCCTTACCTGTTAAAATAATAAAATATTTACAGTAAAAATTTTAGACACCGCTAGGTTGCATTACTGTGGGGTAATCGCGCGGCGTGCGGTGGTCTTGGTCCACGCGGCCCCCGACGCACAGCCTCCTCGCTTCGCTCATTCATCAGTGCCGCGTTTTCCACGACCACAGAAAAGCTGGCCGCTTTGCCTGCTCTGAGAACACGACGAATGCGGGTTCATCATTTACACGGTGGCAGCCTTGCCAGGGACAAGCGAGTGTCCGAGCGTCCCCTGTGTGTCTCGGGGCCAACCTTCAAATCCGGAGCAACTGCTGGGCTGTGGAAGAGCAGCTGCTGTCCAGCAGCCAAGTCTTTTTTCGGTGTCCATGCCGAGAACTGGCAGGAATTTACCCGCTGGTGCACGCCATACGTACTGTATGCATTATTAGTCATCAGGTGAGATATAATCATAGTACATTCCGAGTGTATTAACATCGGGTGATTTTGGTGCGTATGCATGATTGAACCGAGAATATGGCGTCCTCTTTTTCATAGTACGCAGGAACAAAGTGGTCCGTGACTTCAGTCACTGCTGCAAAATGTTTTGATGTCTGGAGGCAGATATTGTAAGTGTAGGGGGCCATACCAACCTTCCCACCAAAAGACAGCGGACTCACACTCTGTGAGCGGGTGAGTGAACGCCCACTCAGTAAATCTGATTGGATTTTCCATGGCCAACTTCGGCCTCTGTTGAGTCATAAACAACATTTTCAACGGGGAATAAAACATGGTTTGTGTTTGTGCCCACAAGGGGAAAGAACTGGCAAACGAGTTGCAAGCCACGAAATGTGGTGGTTATGCATATGCTCTGCAATGGAGCTTGTGATTTACCATTAAAAATAATCAGTCATGTGAAAAAAAATCTGTATTAAATTATAACAAATCAATTGTCCATTTAAAACATTGTTTTCGTCTTTCATCCTATTGACTTTCCAGACTCACCACGACCAGCAGAATTACTTTAAGCGCGCAAACTCTGCACTTGTCTTTGCCCTTCTTGACTTCTTATGCAGAACGTGTTGTTTTTTTTTATCATCGGGGGGAGGGGGGGTCTATATAGTTTGACATTAACAGGATACGAAGACACGTACACGTGTAAATGTACGTGCAAAAAACACTATCAAGCATCACCCGCTCGCCTGTTAGATGTAGCAATTATAACCTTTCGCATTAACGGCTGCCACGGCTGCACGCAACTGATGTATATTTAATTACGAGCCAGTAATCGCAAATCAAAACTCACTCTAGGAGAAGAGGAGGTGCATATGGGTGGGGGGGGGGTCGGTGAGGGGGAACTTAATGGGAATTTTACATTCGCAAAATCCAATTACGTGAGTTAACCTGTGCGCAGTAATTGATGTGAGACTGTATACACACGGAGCAGCCCCAAATGTTATAAATTGAAAATGGCTAACGGCTACCTCACATTAATTAAGATCCCCTGGTACTGTTGGCAGCCTCGAGGCGGCTACCAGAGCAGTAACGGAGCCAAACTTTGCAAAGAGGCAAATCTCCCGCCACCAATTTCAATGAATATTGTTGCATCATCTAATTTCCTACGCTGTGCCAAAGCGTGCAAAGCAGGTATCAAGCCGTGCACATTTCTATACTATATACAGAGATGAAGTGTCTATGGACCTTACATAATTTACCGAATCCATTGCGTACATATATGAGCCCGTGGTATGGAATGCATTGTGTTGCTGCTGGTTTGAAGGATTCTATTTATATATCTGGTAGCCACTGGTGGCAAAAGGTCCCTTTATTTTTATCCCCTGCTGTTTGTCATGTTCAAAAGCATGTATTCGATGATAAAAGAGGGCATTATATATATAAAAAATCTGTTTCTTTCCCAGTTTAAACGTGTATGTGCCAGTACATATTTATATTTGTAGAAATGCTGAATTCATATCTCCATTGACTTGACAAAGAAGTAATTGATGCTAAAATCCTCCAGCCACTGCAGGTTCAGTGGATTATGTCGGTGCGTTTTACCGAAATGTACGCTCTGTGCATGAGCCTGGTAAGCTGGTATATGCATCAGAGCACATTGCTGCAGTTTTATTTTTCGCTGATGGTAACTAATATATATGGATGGTCGTGAGTAGGTGACTGATGAAAATGATAACAATGTTCTGGAGGAGCTGGAGGGCTGAAATTGGGCGTCAAATATAGTCGAGTGAATCGAGTCTATGCCTAAGAGAGGACATTGATGGCACAGCTGCTAAACACACCGTGCTATGAACCGAGCAAAATGAAATCTCAATTTTATAATTTGTGCCCTAAATAATGATTGCCTTGAGATTCATAGATTTTACTCATAGGGCAGGGTCTTGCGTGAAGTTCTCAATATCTTTAAATATCACGGTAAATGCATATAAAGCAGTCAATGATGAAAAAATATGTGATCCCGAATATCAGAGCCTAATAATTGACCTCGTGTGGAGTGTGACACTAATGCCAGTAGAAAGTACGGAGAACTGGATTCTGCTCATTGGTAAAGGTACATCCTTGAAAAGCCTTAATCATGGCACAGTTGGTGGAAAGGTCTCCCACCCGAAGGAGCTCTAGCAAGCCCCTCTAAGTGGATAATTACGCCTACTCTTTCACGCTCGCCAGATGTGTTGAAATAAGTTGGAGTGCCCACACTTTTTTCCATCACACACAACCTGCCGATCGACCAAGTGCACCGACTTGTAATATTATTAATAAATGCCCAAAGAGTATGCTTTAAGGAGCTGTGCAGTAATTGCATAGTGATTGTAAAATAATGCAGGCTGGAACGTTTCTGGATGGTTGATCTTTGCCAATACACTTTATTAGAAGTTCTAGCAGCGACTACTCTAATGTAATCCTGATGTGAAGAGTATTTGAGTACAATAATTGAGAATGGAATTATCAGACATAGACAGCTGCAATGCATGTAATTTGTGCTTAATAGTATTACAAGTGTTTATGTGTTCTCAAAATGATAATAGTATTTCTTTGATGTATTTTGTTGATGTTTAATGTGCAATTAATTTTGGTTCTAAAACGCAAAGGTCCCCATAGATGCTGTATATGATATTACTAGGAACCAGACTTTGCCCGCTTGTTGGATTTAGCGTCACACTCCACAGGAGGCAAATTACTTGGTTCACTGATCCGGATCATACATGTTAAGTGGCTTACATGAGACTTAAAGCAATTTAGCACTTGAGACTGACCCAGTCACATTATAGAAACCAATTAGCCACAGGTCATAATATTGGGGACCACATTTTTTTTTGTAAAAACTAGTTTTTGAATTATCCTAGTTATATGCATAAACTCTAGTATATATTTTGACTGACTTGCAGCTTTATAGCCTTTTCAGAACATGATATCAGTCACCCTTTTCAGTTGTGGTAATTTTTTAGTCTGAGATAGCCATATCTGGTCATACATATCAGCTGCACAACAAAGCTTTTTGCGCTGACGCTACCTCTAACACTGCAGCTTTGTCGCCTTTCCAATATTTTCTTTCTTGAAGAAGAACAGCTGCTGCAACAAGATTGATTTAAGAACCTTGCGCAGTTTCAGCCGTTAAAGCACAACGCAACTTGACGGCACGTTTAACAAAATAGGAGAGAAAACCCCTTTACCAACAATGGAGAGCCTGGCTGAGCTGCAGAACCCACTTCTTCCGGTCAACGGGTTCGACTTCTACAAGAAAAACGGCTTCGCGTACAACGAGCGGCCCCGACACTCGAACGGACTCATCTCAATCTACCTGAACTCTTGCGGCACCGACGACAACGACAACTCCACCTGCGTGTACCAGCAGCTGCTGGACCCCGGTGCACTCCTGACGCAGCAGCAGCAGCAGCTGCAGCACGGCAGCGGCGGTGAGAAGCGGCGACGACACCTCAGCTCGGAGTCATCGCACGTGGCCCGCCTGCCGCCCAGCAGCAGCGGCGCCGCCGCCCCCGCCGCCGCCGTCGACGCGAACGAGGACGGCGGCTGCTCGCAGTACGGCGAGCCCCCGACGGAGAGCCTGCACTGCGAGACCACCTTCACCGAGGCGGCGGCGGCGGCGGCGGTGGTGGTGGTGGCCGGCGGCAGGGACAGCCTGAGCGGGAGTGCTAGTGACAGCGACAGCAGCAGCTGCGGCGGCAGCGGCGGCGGCGGCAGGATGGGCTCCCCCACGAGGGCAGCCACCGGCTCGGCCGGAGAGCCTCGGCACATCCACACCGTGTCCTACGAGGTGGACGAGGAGGGCGACTACCAAGACCTGCAGGTGTGTGGCTGGGGTCGTGATTGCACACGGGCAAAAGGGGATGGAATTTTATTTTGGCTTGTTTGTTTCGAACAATTGTACCCAAATTATTTAGTGACACCCTGTTGGCAGTGGGGAATAAGCACAAATAACAAACAAAAAATATGGCAATACATTGATGAGTAAAACTGCTTAAAAGTCAAAAAAAAATCGGCGACATACCCACAGCTTTGTTTGTGTGTGAGCGAAAGAGCATGGTAGGCTCTTCAAGTGTCATTAGATGTCGTGCATAAAAAACACAAATTATCATGACACTGCGGAGGATGTTACACGCACTAAAATACTTTTTTTTGTATGTAACAAGCATTGAATTTTGATTCTGCACTCATGAGGACATGGGATATTACATTACAGAACAATATATTTATTTCAGATTGCTACGAAAACCGTGTTAATATCTGATTTACACCACACTGGTACCAACCCCAATGCTCATAGATTCTACAAATGAAAATGCCAATGAATGAAACGTCTTTTTGTCTCCTACATGGATGTAGCTCCAAGAGAACAAATTGGTGACCCACATTAACATGACAATGATTAAATTATACATTTATTATATCCTTTTTTGTAACTTCTGCAGCTATTTCTGTGCTAATATGAATGGCAACCGTTATATTTTTTCACTGAGGAAGGATCAAAGCAACAATTCGCTAATGGCCATCACACCATCCCTTTTATGAAGCTTGCTCATTGGACTATGTAACATGCTTAGAAAATGAGATGAAATAGATTTTTAAACACATGAAGCACAATTTGTACTATTTCACAAAACACGATCTTTCATTCTCTGTAACGTTTCAAAATCAATCGGGCAATATACATTTTAGAGTGCCTGCATGTGGTTAATCCATGCATACATCCAAGGGATACTAATTGGGAGTATAATTGGATAACAATATTATTTAGTGGGATTTAGCTCGGTATATTGCTGCTGAAAGTCACACCTTTTAACTACTGAAATCTATTTAAAGCAAAATATCCCTGTGCACTTGGTCCCAATACCCATATTCCTCCCTGTGTTTGCTAAACAGAGTGACCTTGAGGCTCAGCATATCTGGCATTTTGCACACAACGATGGACAAAGAATGAAGCCGTGAATGCCTGCACAAAGTGCTCACTAAATAGAAATAAATTAAGTCAAGCGTGTATGCAACCCCAAGTCTGGCCAACGTGGAAGAGTAGACCAAATACCCTCCCACAGGGCCTCTCTTGAGCCACCTCCAGCGGAGGGCGTTTTGCCAGCCATGGCACGAGCAGGCAATTGCAGGGCTGCGCCTTCATCTTTATCTTGTTTATCCCAAATGCACTCGGCCCCCAAGCCCTTTATATCCCATGTGCCTTACTGAACAGAGTGACCTTGAGGCCCGGTTCTGGCATTTTGAAGACATTGTTGACAATAATGAAGTGATGACTAAATCCCCCCAAAATTGGGTAAAATGCTTAATTGCATGTGCTGCTGTATTAGCCCACTTTCAATGCTGCTCATGCAGGAAATTTACTATGGAATGCAACATTTTTGTAAGGGGTGTGAAATATCTGAAGATATATTGCAGCATCGTGAATGGTGTCCAACTAATTTGCTATTCACATTGTAACAAGATAAATAAGCATTTTTCCATGTATCATTTTTATTTCCACTTTAAAAAATATAATTTTGTGCAGAGCTTTAAAGAATCACTTTCAATTGTACAGCGTCTGTCTCAAACCCATGGTTGTACACAGTGCTTAATTTCTCGCTGAATATTTCCATATCGTTGGTGAACTGCAGTAGGCATGCAATTAGTAGCCACAGCCATAGCGAGAGGTACACTGGATATGGTGTGCTGGGTGTGGAAAATATATATTTTAATGACCAAAACCAGACAGACCAGGTTGAACTGAAGTCTTGGTTCCATGTCTTCCACTTCAAACAAAGGCAATTAAAATTTTAGTTTCAAAGTACATTGTAATTTGTGCATTTAAATATCATGGAACAATATGTTAATGAGCTTTACGATAATAGATCTGGGAGGTAATGACAGGCTAAAACGTGTCATTATTGCGATGACATCGGCAAGAAAAGTATTTTTTCCCATGGCATCCGATGCATCAACCACCTTTTAAAAATGTTGCCCGTGCTAAAAACCAAATCCAGCCAAGTGCACAGTCTACCATATCACGCAGTACTTAATGCTATTTAAAATGATACCTCGAGCGGTTATCTGCGAGGTTAAAATATAAAAGAAACCACTGTCTGCTACGCACGTTTTCCTGGTTGTGCTGCATGGCTCTCCGACGCGTATTCATGTTGTGCCACGTGTCTTGTCCGGCACGGCGTTCTCGTGCCGAGCCACCCCACGGTACAACCCGAGAATACATCTGTGAGCCAAATCATGATCTTTTCTTTTCAATCCACGTGTTTTTTTTTACTGCAGTGCATAACTCCCCTTTGCAACGCACAAAGTGGCAGAGTTTACTCCACCTGTTTATGCCCCTGGATCAAATAGCACTGTGCAGGGAAAACGCTTCATTCGTAAGGTGACTGGCCTCGCCGTTTGCTCCGTTTTCTCTGCCCAGAGCGATTACTCAAGCGATACGGAGAGCGAGGACACCTTTTTGTCGTTACCACCTCGAGACCACCTGGGCCTCAGCGTGTTCTCCATGCTCTGCTGCTTTTGGCCTCTTGGAATTGCTGCCTTCTGCCTCTCGCAGCAGGTGAGTCTCGGCAGTGCCGCCTGACCAACGAATGCCCTTTCACGTGCTTTCACCCTCACTGTTTGTCCCCCATTGTTGTGCAGCTATTTGTTTTGCGAATGTGAAAAGGTGCGTTAAAAAATGTTCTCACATTTGAAGGATTTCTCGTTGAACATCTTTCGTAGCCAACTGTGGTTATTGGAGGTGCGGTGGGAAGGACAACAAACTAAACACAAAAATCAGTTCAAAAGAAGTGAGTTTTCAATCCAGATTTACAAGTGCACAGGTCCAGTGGCTTCCTAAAATCGTAAGGAAGAGCGTTCCAGACGGCCGCAGAAGCACATCTGAAGTGCGCGATGCAGTGATCATCTTTGTTCGGATCATTAACATGTTAGGATCATTAACATGTTAGGATCATTAACATGTTCGAATCATTAACATGTTCGAATCATTAACATGTTCGGATCATTAACGTGTCCACGTTCCTGGCCGTAGCAGTCCACACATGAAGCACGTTCGCATCTGAGAAAAGACTCAAATATTCATGTGTCAACCTCGAATCTCGCCTCTAAATGTGCGACGTGACGAGACATAAATACAATTTGTGATGTCATGTGCGGTATCAAATCCACTTAATAAATATGTGAGAGGAACCTTCCTAACAGTAAACTATTCATTATCAGTGATTAAAGTCTACATCGTGATAGCCAAATAAAAATGGTGTTTCCTTTAAAAAAGACGGGAACCTCGTCCTGGGAATCATGTATGTAACGCACCATTACGTAAGCAACGTCAAACATTACAAACCAATTATGTAAAAAAAATGTTTTAATTAATATTATTTCTGGATAGAAGCACACCTTTTTAAAGCACAACACTGATTTAAGCAAAACATTCTTACATAACACTTGTAGGGAGAAGGCAAATGTAAACTTCTGTTACAAGCACACTACTACAGATATAACCACATCTGAACTGGCATCTCTACCACCGCCCTCCCGCCACCCCACTAATGGTTGTGGCTTTTTCTGCATCCAGCTTCTCACGAAGAGCACATTCGGTGGCAAAAATAACATGTCGGTAAAAACACGTTTTTTTTGCTTTCACGTTTTTAAATTGCATGAAAAATGTTGTTCGCATAAATAAAAACATACAATTATGTAGCAGGGAAGAGGGCAGAGAAAATAAAAACAGAAAAGAAGACGAGAAAACGAAACAGTAGGAAAGGAATTAAGAATATGACTGCAATCAACCTCAGACGAAAGATTTCTTTAACGTTGAAAAGGTGAGTCTTTAAAAATGCATGTAAACCGAAGCTCCAGAGAGGCCTTACATTTACATCGCTGATCTCCATTTAAGGATCAAGATGTCACCATATGGCCAAAAGGTGTTGATGTGTTGATGCGACCACACTTCATCAACACTCTCTACCCTCTGCCAGATCCCGTTACTGCCGCACAGTAGACGCACAACCTCCAACATCTGCCCAAACAGTATCCCACTATCTGGCCTTCGGTCTTCCCATTGGCCACTGGACTCAAGGAGACCCCTTCAATGGCTGTCTCTGCAATCGGCTCTCCCCCTTTCTGCACACACGTCTTACCCCGTGCAACAGTTTTTTTTCATCATCATATCTACAACAATTACCAAGAATGTTCTCTGCTGGACTTTTTAATTTGCTAAGCATGCCTTGCCACAATAAAATTCCTCACATCCATCTGAGACACCTGTATTCAAATGCCAACGATGCATTTTAGAGTTGCTTAGGATCCACGTGTCCAACTGATGCATTATTACAAAAAGCACTTCCACTCAAAATATAGATGTCCTTTCATTCAGACGGATCTCTCGTCTCTCTTCTCTTCCAAAGCGGTTTCCATTGGCCATCAAAAACCAGGCCTGCTCAAGCAATGGGGATTTCCATTCCCCGACTGTTATGTGCATTTAGGAGGATCGTAGTGATGTTAAAAAATGACCCTGTGTATAATTGTATTATTCATTGTGGTTGCACAGCAAGCCTAGTGTAGGTGACAGCTTCGAAATTAAGGGCTCGGATGCAGTGCTCCAGATGAGGTTTTGTAGTCTCTTGAGTAATTCACCCGCCAGTGTTGGCACCATGAGTAGAATGTATGCACAGGGGGTCAAATGCAACATAACCTTATAGTCATGAGTAATTTTGATAAATACTGTATTTAACTGCTAACTTATGCATGGATTACATACAGCCCTACATTTTAACTGCAATGTTACCTTAAACTATTGTACATGACTTTGATTTTACATACTCAGGCAAGTTTTCCAATAGATACATTTAAAAAACCGTATTTAAACAAAAAATATATTCCCAACGTAACGGAAATTGGTTTAGCGGTACACACTTCTGTACATCCCGTTCATGGGCCCCGAAGATCACGTGAGCTCTCCTTCACCATGCATGCAGTAAAATTGCCATGAACATTACGAATGCATTCAATGTGCATTCCACAAATAATTCATATTTTTAAAACACCCAGGTATGCGGATTATCTGGATCATTGATCGGACCACAGGCATGGAGTTGTGTGGTGGACAAATGACATCTATTGGGCTAATTTTAAATTATCCACTTAAGAGGGGCTTGCAAGAGCTCACTCGGGTGGAGACCTTTCCACCAGCAGTGCCATGAGTAAGGATTGACCAAAAAACGATTCTGCGTACTTTCTACTGGCTTTAGTGTCACACTCCACACGAGGTCAATTACTAGGTTCACTGAGATTCGGGATCACATATTTTTAATAATCGACTGCTTTATATGTATTTACCGTGAGATTTAAATATATTGAGAACTTCACGAAAGACCCTACGCTATGAGTAAAATCTATTAATCTCCAAGCCATAATAATTTAGGGTCCAAATTTTAAGGTTGAGATTTTATTTTTCTAGTTATTACCATAAATAAACAGAATTTACAGCCCTTTGTCAATCCACTGCTGATTGCAGATTGTTTAACCATACTTTATCACTCTGGTCAGTGAAGATTGGTGCAGGATGCGGGAGCAGCACTGATCCAGAAATCACTCCCCACTGATGTTAGCCATGGCTGAGAACTTAACTCCAATTGCTCGGTTCATAGCGCGGCATGTTTGGCCGCTGCACCATCAATGTCCTCTCTTAAGCATAGACTCGATTCACTCAACTATATTCGATGCCCAATTTCAGCTCTCCAGCTTATTCAGAACATTGTTGTCATTTACATCAGTCACCTAATCACGACCATCCATATGTATTAGTTACCATCAGCGAAAAATAAAACTGCAGCGATGTGCTCTGATGCATATACCTGCTTTGCAGGCTCATGCACAGAGCGTACATTTCGGGGAAAACGCACCGACAGAATCCACTGAACCTCCAGTGGCCGGAGGATTTTTAGCATAATTAATTTATTTGTTAAGTCAATGGAGATATGAATTCAGCATTTCTACAAATATGAATATACACCGGCACATACACTTTTAAACTGGGAAAGAAACAGATTCGGTTTGATTACAATGCCCTCTTTTCTCATCGAATACATGCTTTTGAACATGACAAACAGCAGGGAATAAAAAATAAAGTGACCTTTCCCCACCAGTGGCTACCAGATATATAAAAAGAAAACTTCAAAACAGCAGCAAGTCTCACCTATAATCTTTGCAAATCCACGATGCTCGAGAATCAAAACACAAAGTGAGCTGTGCGAAACGCACCGATGTTCTGTGAGCTTTGTCCCGTGGCTGCGCGGTTGTTGCAGGAGGCCAGCTGCGATGGCCACACTCAATAGGTGCTGCGGATGTGGATAGAGAAGCAAGGGTCGTGTTTACTTTCGTTGTTTATTAGTCTCCACGCCAAATTGGCCTCTCGTACCTTCCAATGTCTCCTTTGTACGTGTGGTACTAGCTCAAAGTAGTCCCTCTCATTATTACTGAATGCAGGAGCACACTGGCAATATGTGATGCTTTGTCAAAGATCATTTCAGGACACGGCAGAATATTTCGGTGCTGAAGAATATTGATCAGCGATGATCATTGCAGTGTGGGGGACATTTAAAAACATGAAAAGTATTTTTAAGAGAATGTGATTTTAAAACACCACAACCACGTGATCATTCGTTCAGATACGATATTTGAAAAGATAGTGGTACAACAATGACTGACTGATGGATTAATTTAAATTAAAAGAGTGAGTGTTATAAAAAAAAACATTGTACACACGTTTGCATATTTTTTAACGCGCATTTTTAAATCGATTTGTTTTGTAATAAAGGTGAATATTACAAAGACCAAGAGATGAAAACATAAATATGAAAACACACGTGATTATTTTGCGATTTCTTTTTTAAATTATTCCCATAATTGACTTGACAGTCAAAGAGTGTTTATCTAAACATTTCATCTTGCGCAAATTTATATTAAGAAAAGCAATAATTGTTAAATTTTCACATTTACACATCTGATGGATTATACCATTCCTCAAATCCAACGTGGCTGATATGTTTACTTTTGAGCCTGATTGGCATTTAGTCCATTTCAACAAGGCAAGTAAACAGTTCCTTTGCACATTCAAACGTTGTAGAATCCAACTACTTACCATGCGATAAAAAAACGGACTTCGCCACTTGGGTCATCTGAAGGAGGTGAAATTCCCTGCACTGCTATGAGTGTATAGTCAGACCAGGACATTTAACACGTAGGCTTTCGCGACCAGTATTATTCTTAATAAAGGCTTTTGGGTAAGATCGTGTAAGTATAAATCTGTCGCAACCCTCCACCACTAGACACGGCCAATCAGTAAAAAATGTGTCATGTTAACAAAACGCCAATTAGTTACTTCTTCCGCCCACCAGTGTGTTTAAAGAGTGGCTCCACAACATTTAGAATTTGAGTCCGATGTTTCGCTGACAATTACATCCAGCATCTTCGGGCGATTTGCCAAAATAATTAAGCCATCCACCTGCTTCCGGTCTTAAATAGTGCAGGACGACGTCATCATTGATCCCATCAGGT